CAAAAATAAAAGATTATTGAAAGGAATTGGTATTCAATGCCAGAGTGGAAGGGATGACACAAATCCTGTTTTTTATAATTATATTCAAAATTGTGTAAAACAAATGGCTGTTAATAATATACATCATAATTTTTGCTCACAATATATTTAATATTAATACTTATTATATGTGTTTGACAAACTTTTTCTTTATTTTTTAAATATAACTCTCAATCAATAACTGAATACTAATAAAGTATTTCTATATATTATTTATTAATCTCTAAATACATATAAATCATAGCTTTGATACTAAAACTCATTTATATATATTTTAAAAGTATAAAATAAATAATCATTAAAATATTAATTTTGATAATTAATAAAATATAACATGAATTATACACGAAATGCATTCAATTGCTTGTTATTAATAATAATAATTACTATAACTCTAGTATTGAAGCAAACTTCAGGTCAACCAGAGTTTCAGTCGCGCAGAGAGTTGAGTGCCGGCGGCGGTAGTCGTGGAGGCCATAGACAGCGACAACGGAACAGTCAATCAAACCAGTGCTCAATTGATTATAATATTGATTACGTTATACTAGCCCTGCAGTGGCCGACCAGTTATTGCGTTCAACGACAGCGTTGTAATCGCGGCACAGACCACACCCGATGGCAGATACACGGCCTGTGGCCTCAGCGCCAGGCCTACGATCAGCCGCCCGCCCAATACTGTTGCGCCAATAGCCGATACGAGGCGTCAGTATTGAACTCAATTCGCCCCCAATTGTTGACCAAATGGGCGAGTCTTCGGGAGGACGCGAATCACGAACAGTTTTGGCGCCACGAGTGGACAAAACACGGCTCGTGCGGCCGCCGATCGCCCCAATTGGCCGATCAGTTCCAGTACTTTAACACCACTCTCGGTCTGTACGACACGTTTCCATTGCACGAGTGGTTGAGTGGCGCCGATATATTGGCCACAAATGATCGGCTCTTCTCTACAAATGATATTCACGCGGCCATTGAAAAGTCGCTTAAGAGTCGCGTACGCCTGGAGTGCAATCCCGCCGCCGGTCCGCCCGAATCGCCGCCCGTTTTGGCCGAAATACACATTTGTTTGGACAGAAAAACACTGAAAACCATTGACTGCAAGAATAGAGACGACAGACAATGTTTCGCAAACAATGGAAACAAGAATTTAGTCTTATTTCCCAAACATTGAAATACTTACTCAAAATATATGAAACATTTTTAATATAACCAAATAATGTTTCAAAACTCAATTAAATAATACTCTTTTACATATGAAATATTTATTTCTCAGTTTTTCATATGAAACAAAACTTTTAACTTAAAATGTTATTTAATTTTAAAGTTAATGTTATTTAATGTTAAAATTTATTACTCGGTTTAATATGGATATGAAGTTGTAATTGATTGCAATGACTGCATAGGGATGGCTGTGTTAATGCCCCTAACAATCCGCATACCTATCAACTCTCAATCAAACACATTGCATGACTTCAACACATAAATAAAAATTACACAAAAATTCAATATTAAAACTTAATTTATTTTTGTCGTTATAAATAAATGTATATCTAAATTAAAATAATCATGTTTAAAATTAGCCGGAATTACATTATTTGGTCGTAATGTCTGTGTGAAGACTAATCACTAATTCTGTTATAAAAAATGATTTATAAAAACACTAATAAATTATATAATTATATGATAAGGAGATAGTGTTGTTGTGGTCAGACATCGAGCTTCAATTGGCTGATGGCTTGCGATATCCATTGCGGGTAATTATCTCTATCGCCGAAATGGTACCGAAGATTGTCGGCAATGAACTCAGCGAACACACCATCTCTGATGGCGTCTCTAATCTTCTGCATAAATCGCATCTGAAATCGGATGTTATGTTCGCTCAGGAGATGACAGCCGACGGTATTCTTGTCGCGCATCAGATGGTGGACGTAAGAGCGCGTGTACTTCACACACGTATTGCAATCGCACTCACTGTCCAGCGGCGTGAAGTCCAGTGCCATTGAAGTGCTCCGAAGGCTAACCTCTTTGCCGTAACCGACGAGTGCGCACCCGAACCGAGCCGTTCGCGTCGGGTATACGCAGTCGAATAGATCCACACCGAAGGCCACACACATCAACATATCGATGGCCAGACCGACACCCATCAGATACCGGGGCTTATTCGCCGGCAACGACTCTGTGCTGACGGCCACCATCTCTATGAACTTGTCTTTCGCTTCACCGCCGCTCAGACCACCGATAGCTATACCGACCGGATCTCTGGCCACAATCTCACGCGCCGATTGTCGTCGAAACTCGGGGTTCAGTCCGCCCTGTATTATGGGAAACAGATTCTGTCGCGCGTGACGTCCAGTCTTGTCGTCGGCCACAGCCTTCGAGTGTGTGACCCGACACCTGTCGTACCACCGGATGGAGCGGTGAAGCGCTGTCTCCATGCGCTGCTCGTCCGGGTGTGTGGTCTTAATGACGTCATCCAATTGCATCATTATATTGGATCCGATCTTATGCTGCATTTGAGTGGCCATTTCGGGCGTCAACAGCATCTCATCGCTCACAGTATGGGTGCTGTCCTTATCGTACGGACTCTTGAAAAGCACTCCGTTTTCGGACACTTCCGAGAGTTTGCTTAAGGAAACCATTTGAAAGCCGCCCGAATCGGTCAACAGTGCGTTCGGCCACCGCATCAACTCATGTATACCTCCCGCGCGGTCAACGGTGTCCACACCGGGACGACTGCCCACGTGGTAAGTGTTGGCCAGTATTAGCTGACATCCGGTGCCTTCGACCTGAGCCGGGAGGAGGCCTTTGATGGTGGCGTTAGTGCCGACCGGCATAAACATCGGCGTCTCTATAGTCACGTCCCGACCCAACGACCCGTCGGACAGCGATTTGAGGGTCAGTTTGGAGAGTCGGGCGCGAGTTTGGCCGCAATCGGCCACCACTTCAAACGATAGCCCTTTACTCATGCTTTTGGTCAACACTTTAAGCATTCATTTAGTGATAATTTAATGTCAAATGAGTTAAATTGTGGCCACAATTAAAGGCAATTAAAAACACGTGCTTTTGTTGTTGTATAACATTTGCAAAGTTGTTTCAAATCAATTATTATTAATTGTTATTATATTTAATGATTGGTTGTTATATTAATTGTGATATAAGTGTAACACGAGTTGTAATTAAATTGAATTAAGTTTAATTGTAAACAATTTAAATGTATATTTAGTGATGATTTAGTGCTGAGTTAACATATGATATACACGTGACTCTCGTATTGCTGTTCATAAAAAACAACACATAAATAATGTAAATACAGTATAAGTCATGTTATAGTAAACTATAGTTTAAACTAAATTAAAACTAATTACTGTTTAATAAATAGTTAATAAATTGATAAATACTTACATATATTTTATATCATAAATATTTTAATCATAAGTTTT